TAATCCATCCGCAACCGTTCGAAGTGAAATCGTCCGATTTAACAAATCTTGGTGAGTTTACATGACATCGTCAATTCTCATTATATATGGACGTTCCCTGTAATAGTCCCGAGGCCGATGTCTCTGTATTGACGGGTTCTGGATGAACGCACCATACCCGTGCTCGTGGGTGTCACCGAAGTGGTAAACGTCTGAGACCTGCATCACTTCGGGCTTTCCTCCCACTTTAAGCTGACACGCCGTGATATAACTGGAATACTATTAAAAGCGGCGTTAAACACAACACACTCACTAACTCACTCTGGGTTAACGGGGTTCCATTGTACAGATATATCCGTACAGGATCTATGCAGCAACCCATGCTTGTCGTAAGAGGCGACTAACGGGATAGGGGGGTCAGCCTCGCTGACTTGGTTGATGCATGTCATCGTATCCCAATTTTCAATGATATCAATCACTGGGTTGTCTGGTCCTGATTCGATTATTTACAAATCGCCGTCAAATAGCTGGGATATTGCTGAATGCGGCGTTAAACAACAAACAACCAAACAAAAAATATATATATCCATTAAGTGAAATCTATAGTTCTGCATTAAACAACAATCCAGATGAAGGAAGAAATTACACAGACAGGAATCCTTCTGTCATGTACAAATATATAGTATATTTGGAGCTGGTGTGGTCAGCCGTTAATAGGTAATGTAGCATTGGTTATCACGCGCCGGTGGTCAAACATGGACGGCTGACCGGAAGGGTTCAATAATCAGCATGTGACGGAAAGTTAATATCCCGTACCGTGCGTTGTCCGATTGACTTAATTATCTTCCTTGGTCGTAATTGCCTACAACTGGCCACGCCCCCTATGGGTCAAGGTTCAGTTGAGGTTTAAGTGCTACACATTATTGTAGAACACAGTACTTATTGAACATAATATATACACGTGTGAAAACATCGTCAACCATGATCGATGAAATTGCATGGTGAAGACACGCCTTAGTCCGATTACAAGAGGTCCCCGACTGGTATTGCATATACCAGTCAACTATAAACATACTTTGAGAATACGGTGGTTCAGTGTGTGACCTGGCTTATTGTGTGTGACCTGGCTAATTGTGTGTGATGGAATCCGACGACGTATATCGTTGCTCGTGATATCGACCACTGGTTTTATTCGCCTGGCCCTGACTTGATTCATCACAGGACGTCGCGGTGGAGCTGCAACATTGCGGAGTACATCACGTCATTGCAGACGTCCATCACGTGCAGTACAATGTGAGATATTTCTTCAGGACTTAATCAAATAATAATTTGATGCTGCATCTTTCAAATCAATAATCAATAGAATATAATAAAACAATTCACCTCTTGCGTCCAATTTGTAAAACCCGGTCATTAATATCAGTTTCGTTTTATTGACTGTCCATGTCATGTAACGCAATAGAATAATCCATATTTTCACACCGAGCGTACAGTGTAGCATTAGCAAACGTGATTGTTTGCAATAGCAACTTTCACAGGAAATTAATTCACAATCACCCGAAAAGAAAGCAATATTGTTGTCTCCAACTGATAGTAATATAGCAAATGTTTCATTCTAGAGACAGTGATTATCGTTCACACGACACAGTGTATAGCAATTTCACGCCTGACTTTTTCCGATTACGAAATAATATTACAAAATAATTTATCTTCAGAAAACATTCGCGGCGGGGGTTGAAGAATTATTCATTTATAATCACTCTGAATGAAAAGTCATTCTTTACCTCCACCCTTTAATAGTGTATATAATGGCGGTTCGGGTTGTAGAATGGCCGCTGCTTCGTCGAAAAAACACCTGTGGTGTAACGCTTCCAACACCTGTTAATCACCTACATGCGACTGCATGCCCCGGTGTTTAATAGGACGGGTTGTTTGGATTCACCTGCACGCCCTCACCATGGTGCAAGTATTTCTGAATACTAACGGTAAGTTATGTGACCAAGGGCACTATAGTCAAGATTGTGTGGGAAACGGTAATGTCGCATTGAACATGTTTTCAGTCAGATCACGGCTACCAATGTATAAAAAACGAACTTAACAATCGGTATTGCAACCTGAGGAAAGTAAACTTCTCGATAATTGATTTCTTTTAATTAGGAGATACCCTTATTCTGTTTTAAATTTTGAGGTGGTTTGTGGTTGATTATGAACCACGTCAACGTTAAATTTATTTCCATTCTATGATGACTAAAATGCGGTTTGTTTCTTGTCTAACGGACTCTTTTCCTTGCGCACGTATTTAGTGATATCGCTCACTAACCACTTCAAATTTAGTCAAATTAACCGATCACACACACACACACACACACACACACACACACACACACACACACACATATTGTTTATTAACAAATATTGGAATATTTGTTTGTATTCACTGAAGGGGTTTATCATGTGAACATGGAAATGGTTTTACCGTTATTCGAGATGACGTGAAATACACGATACGGGCCAGTTTAGTAGACCGCGTGGCCCTGTAAAGTGTTATACGTCATTGCAGTAAACATCAGTTTTATCGTGAAATGAAATGAGACCCTGGTAGGCTGGTACGCGCTTAACGCCGCCCTATCACGTGTCATTTCAAGAGTAGGGCACTTGTCGATTCAGACCCACGTGTCTGCGTGATGTATGTAAACTTCATCCGTGAAACTGAACATGTAAATTATGCAGCCTAATCACTTCTTATAACAAACTTATTGTCCTCTGTTGACGTACATCAGACCCGTGAAGATCCGGGGCTTCACCAACCTATGCAAGCTTGACGTTAGAGGCGACTAACGGGATCGGGTGGTCAGACTCGCTGACCTGGTTAATGCATGTCATCGTATTCCAATTGTATGGATCGATGCTCATGATGTCAACCACTGGATTGTCTGGTCCAGACTCGGTTATTTACAGACCGTCGACGTAAAGCTGGAATATTGCTGAGTGCGGCGTTAAACAACAAACAAACAAACAAAGATGTTGACCAGACAAAATATGTCAGTTTTGTTACCAAAACGTTTTGTTTCCTCTTACACAGTCAGCTGCACTTGTGTAGTAACACACAAAAAAGAGGGTTTCCAAACAAGTGAATGGGATGCACAGATATCAGGAACTGGCACTTCTCACTTTCATTTGTATTTTATTGCATATTTATCTAAATAAAACTAAACCTGCATTGTCAGAGCTACAGTAAATATATGTATGTAAGTAGAAGATCCCCAAGGACACCAACTACTTTGAACAATTAATATACAACCCATGAATGTACTTACCTCTGTACAGGCCTGCCCCGTACAGCCCCGTTCCTTCACTCGACGTCACCAGTGTTTGTTCGGCGCTACGCTATAAATTCTGTATTTGTCATGATGTGAATCCCGAGCCTACTTAGGACGGTCTATGGCCTAACAAGAAGCCAAGAAGAGCTGTCATAAGTTATCGTGAAGCGTCCCTCGTACTTGCAGGGGGTGGGGCCTTGTGCGTTCAGTCTGAGCACCCCCTAGCATGTTTGTGAATCTTTCCAGCATTACTTTCATGAATCATGTCGGCTTGGTGTAGAAAGTATGTTAAAACCATGTATCATTTTTAAGTACCATGTCATGATGTTAATGATATATGTAATGTTTCGAGTATTTGGATTGTTTGTTTATTGCTCGGAGCCGATGTCCGAAATAGTCCCGTTCTATGACGACGGTCTCTAAATAATCGAGTCTGTTGCTGAACGAGGCTGGTATTATGGAGTTACATTTTGGCTGGACTAACGAGTCAATGCATAGTCCAATCAAAATCGCGCACCGAAATCGAAATCCGGTTCGTAAACTGTCATGCAGTCATGACATGAGTTCGGTCGATTGCAGGATTTGAATAGCATCTGCACCACCAACTCGTTGTCAACAGATATTTTCCAAATCTGTTCATGTTTTAATCAAGGTGCTCACGTGACTTCGCGAAGTAAGAACCTTTTTATCACAATATAGATCTTGATGGTCTATCAGATCGTATTTGACGGCGCCACCATTTTGTTTGAAGCAAATGCATGTGAATCTGTGAGGTGGAATCTGATTGGTCCATAGAAGCTATATTTAAGGCAGTACAACATTATATATGTACACTCCGTGTGCGAAATACGCATCAGTCGGAAAGCGCACGTTAAATCTCCAAAGTAAGTAAGTAAGTATATATGTACAACTAAACGATTTGTGTAAAGAACTGTTCACTCTCTCTCTCTCTCTCTCTCTCTCTCTCTCTCTCTCTCTCTCTCTCTCTCTCTCTCTCTCTCTCTCTCTCATTTGTATTGAATTTGAAATTGTAAAATTTTGTAAATACCAGGGAGAGGGCAATCTAAGTTTGAAGAACTTGTCCCCCAATCCCGTTCACTTCTTGTGAAAAAATATGATTAAAATCATTAAAATCATGGGATTAGGTGTATTTTTTATAAAATTATGTAGAGATAATATATTTGGCTTTTGTTGGTTAAATACCACAACATATTCACCTGAAAAGCTTCATATTTCCAAGAAAAGTGCAAAATGTTCACTTTTTCAGACCACCAGAAGAGAAAAGGCAGTTGTTTTATACGAGAAGATGAGTGTTCTGTTTATAAGTATAGTCTCGCTGATCTTCATGGCCATTGTGTCATGGAGGCAGAATGAAAGTAGTCGCGACATAAAGTGTTATTTCACTCGACTGAATATACAATTTGTTCAGTTAAATATACAACATATGTGCAGATCATATCTTGTAGATCTATATAGAATATCGGTTTGGCAAACTTCGGAAAATAAGGAAATGAATGAATGCATGAATATTTCAATTGCAAGCTAACGAGAAACATTTCAGCTGAGAAATATTACACATAGAAAGAACGAGTATAATCAGTATATGGTTCAAACCATAGATCACTAAAATAAGTGTCTTTACAACTTTCAGTCCGTCACGCTTTTGTGATCACCCACCGGAAGTTTGCTATGGACGCGGTGGATTGTGGGCAGGTTGGCAAGGAAAATATTATGGCGGCTGTGCACGCTGAAGTGTCATGTTTCTGTGAGAATATTAGATCAATTTGAATTATTCAGCGTTGTATATCCATTCTGAACATTTGCATGTCCTGGACTGTGTATTCTTAGTGTTTTAGAGTGATATTTTCTGTATTTTGATGGATTATGCCGTGAAATGCAGTCATCAACTACGTCAAATGCTAACATTCCATTGATACCGCTGGCGCTGTGGCGATAGGGCACCTCATTGTTTTTTTAACCATGTGGGTTGTTGTATGAATGATTTTGGATAACTGTTCTTGACAGTCATCGTGGACTCGGCATTACTGGAATTTTGATTTCAAATGTGCATTTTCAGCAAACTAAATCGGGTAAGTACAGCTCATAGATTTCTACTCTGATAGTACAGTACCCCTAGAGTCAGTCATAGTTGGTCATTACGTTTAATAGGAAAATCATGGTCGTTGAGAAATTTAGAAGACGTTTTTATACATTGCCATTTCGTGCGTTGCTTAATACATGTTCTGTTAATCAACCCGCAATATTACCAATTCATAAAATATATATCTGTATATTTCAAACATGTTTTGCAATACTTATATTAGACCATAGGATCAAGTTTTTTTACACCTCTAACATTAGGACTATATCACCTGCCCTATGATCAAACATATTGTTTTTTAAGTGAAAGTGTGTTTTTCAACCACTTAATCACTTTTTATGGTCATTCCTTAGACATTTTCCATTCTTATGACACTTCTAAATCCAGGGATATACTTGATAATAGCAATATGCCAGTAGTTCCTTAAATTAGTCATGTTTCGTTTACTTGTAAAGCATTATCACCCCTGTTCATGAGAATATGCTAATTAGTGTAATTGAAAGAGCTGTAGAGTTATCATTAGTTGAAATTTCGGTATGAACACATCATTAATTATAAGATATATAGAAGCAATATGGTGATCTTGTACCATTATTACAGATAGCATTTCAAAGCACACAACAACCAGGATATTTCTTACATTAAATATGCTTGTACCTTGTTCACAAATGATTCCTTTAGTGATTCTAAATTCAGGATTATATTTCTGTGTCCTACATTCCATTTTTTGTGTGGTCTTTTTCATGTTTATCTAGCGTTTTGCTTTTGCACTCAGGATAACAAGTTACCTGGATCTTATTTTATTCTTCATGATCCAGTTAAGATGTTTGTACACCAAAAAAACATATTATTGATTTGTTTTGACTAGTTTGACCACAGATATGGATATGGTAGAGATCTCCAATATGATTGTAACAAGTTAATAGAAAAATGCTCTGGACATGATATAGTTACCTTTTAACTAGTGTTAGTAATTAGTATGAACATGATAAAGAACATATGTTCACATAGTTTTCATGAAACAAAACATGTTTATATAATACTCTTAACCATGATCAAGTTGAACCATCATTACCTTTTTCCATCAACATGGCATGATGATAAACTGACAAAAGGATGATATTCATCAACTTTACTCAACTTTGAAAACCAGTTTTGATTTATTTCACTTAACCTAATACTAAAAGGATCAAATAATGTTTAGGCATATACAAGGAACTTGGGATTTTTATGGCCTATGGTATTAAATATAAAGACATGAAGCCATCTTTGTCATTAGTTTCTTCACCAATCATGCAAGTGTGACACTGTCAAGATAGTACATTTGAAGAACACTTTTTAACATTTTAAACAATGTTGCAGTAAATGCAGGAAATTTCACCGTTTTGGTATTCCTTTCTGAGTACTACACAGTTCAGATAATGAGAACTAGGGATCTGAATATTAATGAATATTGTCAAACAATTAATGTAAATGTTTGCACCATGACCGCTGCTTAAAAAGATATCAGTTTAAGATTGTAGTGCTGGATACTTTCTCATAATGACATTTATCTTCTGCATCCCTGGTTACCATGGTTACTTGTCTGAACATGTTCACCAGCATAACAGGAGTTGGATGGTTTGTTGTTTTACTCCACACTCAGCAATATTCCAGCTATAGAGACATTACTTGGAACATATGATCATGATCATTATAATCACAATTGTAAAACCTTTTGCTAAGTTGGCTTGCCCAAGAGAAATCTAACTCAGGCTTTGAACTATATCAGTATAGTCATTGTTCAATGTATCTGCAATAGTTGTCATGTTATGTCTTATTTATTATTGTTCCATGTTGATAAGTATGAGCTGCCAGAGCTGAGAGGGGATGTGTATTTATTATTGTTCCATGTTGATAAGTATGAGCTGCCAGAGCTGAGAGGGGATGTGTATTTATTATTGTTCCATGTCAAGGTTTCACTCTTGTCAAAGCCAAGTGTGCTTTGATTTGAAAATGATTAAAGACAAATATTCATCAGAGCTAAAAAAATGTACTTTCTAGTCCTGTATACATGGTATATGCATTCCAATGTTCCTTTTCATTGCTAGTAGCTTATTTGGAAAGTACTTCTTTTATATTTTAAAAACTCACTTGTAAAATATATTTGGAATGAAGTACATGGCAGTGAAACAATACAGCAACGTCGCGATATATGGGTCGCAATACACATATTTACATCATGTCCCTGGAAATGTCTTGCAATATTTCAGAGCACTTTAAAAAGGAAACGCAAGCTGTAGACGCTATTTGTAGCAGCTAGCTTTTGTAGTGAACTAATTGCAAGACATTTTGCGATATTTGACGCTTGGGGTAATGAAACGTGTAGTAAGAAATATTTCAGCAAGTGTATCGTCTTGTAATACGAGTTGTATCGATACAAAAAACGGTATTACAAATTGTATTATCACATGAAAATTAGTGATGCACTGGTTCACCAATTCCACCCCTGTGAAATAACAGTATGTTCAGCAATTATCATTTTTTGCAATGTGTGTCATAATATCAAACCTGTAGTTGTTTGTACAACTCGATTTACCTGTACCCAAACAATGAAAACGTCCATTTATGTGCAGCAGAACAATATACCTTTTGTAATACATTGTATGACCATTCCTTTGTCAGAGTTAGTTAACAAACACTCAAACATATTGTCACTGGGGATATGCATATTGGATATTACATTTGACTGGGATTTATCTAGAAGTCGATATTCAGCCCGAAATTGGCAGCGCATGTCAATTAACACAGTTAAAATTAAAAAAATTGATTAATAAAATCCCAGTTCATGTTTATAAAATTATAACTAATGATTTTGATATGCAGAAGTGAGTTCTAGCATGTCTAGTGCACTGATAACAGGACCAATATAGAGGAAGGGGTTTTAATCTTGAAGTCAGTGTTAAATTACTTCTGGACAAGGGTACTTTGGAATCTTAGATAAGCCGCTGTGTGGCGGCAGTCTGTAAATAATCGAGTGTGGACCAGACAGTCCAGTGATTGGGATCATGAGCATCGATCCATGCAATTGGGATACAATGACATGCATCAACCATGTCAGCGAGCCTGACCACCCGATCCCGTTTGTCGCCTTTTACGGTGAGTTAATGAGTGTGATGAGAGATCACATGGTCCCACATGCAGGTGCAACAATAAACAGAAAGATATTTTCTAGTTTCTCATAGTACAGACTACAGAGCATATATTTAACATGTTTAACAGCTCTCATCAACTCATTCCATTCTGAGCCCCTTCTCATCACCAGTAGTTTGTCTCCCAGATCCTAGAGCCAATAATATAAAAGGAGTCCAACTCAAGTCTAGAATGATTTGGCAAGTGTAGGTAGCCTCAGCTGTAGGAAATTAAGGATTGTTCCATTTTTATTTTTATTTTGTTATTTTGTAGATATTTATTTTTAAATAAGATAACTTTATTTCCGTGACAAAATGTCAGTGTACATCTCCAGCAGCCAAGACACATACCCTTATTAGCTCCAGCAGCCCACACTCATCCCCTTTTCAGCTAGGAGACTTTAGTTTTCTTTAATCATGTTAATTCTGTATGGTTCCGTTTTAGAAATACTTTTATTTAATCTTTTACATAATTATATTTTGGGACTACATGTTAGTCTAAGTATTTTCTAAATACACACAATATACATTTATAGTGTACACGACCACATGGTCTACCTCATAGTACACAATCCTTCATAACAATCTGTGAAATACTTTGGTTCAATTCTTCTTATGGGAGGCAGGATCAAGCCCCATAACCAATTGATAAGCTAGATGTGTTTGCACCGGGCAAATAGATGAACTTTAAAGTGGTGCCCTGCCCTGGCAGACAGGCTGAGAGACCCCAGGGGGCTGAGAAACACATAATACCGGCTTGATTGTAACTGTTCAATAGAATTTATGTCAGTGTTATGTGTCTATGAAAACTGTGAAAAGATTGTAATATCACATGTCTTTGATGTGTAATATTGGTAGATGCAACATACAATATAACCTCTAGCCTTAGCCATTGTTAGCAGGGACCTAAGATGTTTATGTGTTCAGTTTTTAACTGTTATAACTGACTGGTTCTACATTCTACATGTATATTGTTTTCCCCACCAACTTGTTTCCATCATTGTAACACATTGTAGTTATGCTGACGTACTGGCACTTACATTTATTGCAATATATCGCAATATAGAGAGCTGTATTGCAATAAGTATTGGGTACCAACTTTTATATATTTGTACTCTTTAAATGGTACTGCTTCATTCAGTAAGCCAGGCACCAGGATGAGAGATGGGTTTTGACAGTACGGATAAACGAGACTACGTCATCAATCTGGAATAGTAAAGTAAGCAGCACTGTTTTGATAGGAACAAGTCCATTCAAATGTCTCAAGATAGTAGATATATTCAATATATTTATATGTTAATTCTTCGGTCAATGTATTGTAAAATATTGATACACATTCGTGGAGCTGTATTGCAATATATGTATTGCTGATGGCCTTATAGCAATATAATAACTTTTAACATTTTGGTTTATTGATTTTCATGCTTATTGCCAAACACTACCTTAGTTTGGGCATTTCAGTGTCAGTGCACACAATCTTGTCTTTGTAAGCATTCTATGAAATTAACTTTTGTTTTCACCCATCTTCATCAAAAATGATCTCAAGGAATTGTCACTATTCTTTCACTATTTTGTATAATGTGCACATGGTGCAATGTGGGTAATCAACTTTACCAACTTGAAACCTTCGTTAGACCATTTACTTAGCAGACCCATGAAGATCCCCAATACGTCTTCAGCAACCCATGCTTGCTGTAAAAGGCGCCTATGCTTGTCGTAAAATTTGACGAACAGGATCGGATGGACAGGGTCACTGACTTGGTTGATGCATGTCATCGATCCCAATTGCATGGATCGATGCTCATGATATCAATCACTG